GTTTTTTAGGGTCTGAAAGGGGGGGGGGGGGGGGGGGGAGGGGGTAGCCCTAAAAACTCGAACTTAAAACTTACACTCACTATTTTCTTCGAAAATATATGTGAGTTCCACAAAATAAAGATCAATATGACACTAAAATTGTTAAAGTCGAATTTAGCTCGTCAAAAACACGTGATGAAATATTATCCAATGGTCATATGGTTATTAACTATGTTAAATATGATGTTAGAGAATATTTAAAACAAGCAACTATTCTTATTTGTACAAAATGTTTAGGTGTAGGACATATTCGCAAACAATGCAAACAAACAGATTTTACATGTAAAGCTTGTAGTGAACGTTGTCCTGATATTAATAAACACAATTGTTCTGGCATTGCTAAATGCTTACATTGTGGTGAAGATCATCATTCAAATGATATGAAATGTAAGGTGGTCAAGCAACATACAGCTGATCTAACCAAAATTCTCTTATCATCTTCCAACAAGTTGTTCAACAATATGTTCACCTCAACAACTGAATTTCCTCCTTTACCACGTCCAACTAAATCAACTATTAATGGTTATAAACTGTTAGTAGGTGAACAAAATGGAACCACGACCAAACTGGACCAGATACTTAATTCAATCAACAATATTAATGATGCTATGGTTGACCTTGTTAAACCAACTGAACAATTTGAAGATTAGATAAGGGTGTGGGTATGGGTGTGGGTGTGGGTGTGGATGTGTGGGTGTGTTGGTGTGGGTGTGAGGGTGGGTGTGGGTGCGGGTGTGGGCGTGGGTGTGGGTGTGGGTGTGGGTGTGGGTGCGGGTGTGGGCGTGGGTGTGGGTGTGGGTGTGGGTGTGGGTCTGTGGCTGTGGGTGTGGCTTTATACAAAGCGAAGAGTCACACCCACACTCACACCTCCACCCATACCCACACCCACATACTCACACCACCCACACCCACATCCACACCCACACCCACACCCACATACCCACACCCACACCCACACCCTCAAGCTGGAGTCTAACGTACAATTGGTACCGAATTGTATCCTTATTGATATATAAATCAATGTTTTTCATCACATGAAAATACATGTTCATTTTCTTTAATAGTTCATTTTTCTTTCGACGTATTCATTCACTTCATCATACGATACCTCAGTATATGTAGATAAAATTTCCTTTAAAAAGAATTTCCTTAGTAAAATCAATAATGCTTCGGTCTCGTGTCTCTTATTGGTTTCCATAGGACTGATTTTATTCATTTTAATGGGGAACGCGGCATAATGAACATAATGCATATGATGTCTTATACAACTTTCCAGAAAAGTCAATGACTTTCCCGAAATCAAACAAATTTTCGGACACTAGAAATCAGTGTATCGAGACTCAATACGTTTCAGAGAACCGAAATCGAATATCTGCAAATTCACTGAATCTCCGAAAATCAAACAAAGGCACAACCAAAAAAAGTGTTTTTTTTCCAGAAGAAATCCAGTTTGCATTGATGGAACTCAGTTTACTAAGCTCAGGCATGTACTAGTCATCTTTGCCGAACTGGATGAATCGGAAGGGATCACACCATATCTCTCTCGAAAAGGGTACCGCAAAGAGGCTCACACCATATCTCTTTATGCATCCATTATGTCCATCATGCCACATTTCTCGTCAAAGTGAAAAATGTCACTTTTCTCGAAACCAACAAAAGATCCTAGACTGCATTTGTGTTTAGAATTCAATTGTCTAGTTTTTCTTTTTATTCGGTCTTTTAAGGCCCCCCACCCCTCAAAAATCGATCTCGGCCCGGGAACATTCGAATCAGCTGAAATTTACAGGATATGTTGGAGACATTAAGGGAAGTCTAGGATAAAATTTTCAGCCCAAAACCATTTCATTTGGGGGAGATATTGACGAAACAAGATAGAAAAATAGAGAAAACGGCATCCCAAATTTCTCTGTAACGGTCCACACAATGTATTAATATCTTTTTTGTTAGAAAGAGCGTGTCAGGATGCAGGGCACTACGTTCTCCTTTTTTTTAAATACCTCCTTTTTAATCGAAAAAAAGAGGGGACAAGTTTCATTGCTCAAAAATTGGTCAAAAAATGGTGGAAAAATTATATCATTGCCATTATATTGACTATAAAAAGAGTGTATTTCAAAAAAAGGACAACGTGCTGCCCTACATCTTGACACGCTCTTTCAAACAAACAAAAAATATGAATACATTATATGGACCATTAAAGAGAAATTTGGGATGCACGTTCGAGAAAACGAAAATTGAGAAAAAACGAAAAAGATTTTTGCAAGATTGTTTTTTTGACATTTTATAGTTTTTTGAAATTTTTAGCATTTATCTAAAGAACTTGACTACCAATAATCCATATAATGATGAGTTATGTATAAAAAGGATCTTTATGACATGGTGAACATCTTTAAACTCTTAAATTATGTACTATACCAAAAAATAATTTTTTTCGAAAAAATCGT